GGCCCTGCCACAGACCCTCTGGCAGCCCTCCGACATCGACCCCCGGGCGCTGCGCAGGTGAGCGGGGAGCACGGGGGGGGGTCCCTGGGGAGCACAGCCTCCAGCCCCTTCCCCTCCCGACGGACCCGCGGCTGGAGTGCTTGGGCTCCCCAGCTCGGTGCTGTGTTTCAGTCCAGGAAAGACCCAATATTCAACCCTCAGACAGCCCGGGCTCCCCAGCTCGATGCTTATTTTTAACCAGAAAAGATGCGATACTGAACTCTGGGACAGCCCAAGCTCCCCTGCTTGATGCTTTATTTTTTTTCCAGAAAAGACCCAATATTCAACTCTCAGACAGCCCAGGCTCCCCAAGTCAATGCTTGCTATATTTTTCCCAGAAAAGCCCCGACATCCGATTCCCAAACAGCGCAGGCTCCCTGGCTCAGTACTTTATTTTTCCCAGAAAAGCCCCAACATCCAAGTCTCCGCCAGCCCACCCCGCTGCGGAGCGATTCCTGCCTGCAAAGCGCCCGACCACGCATTGCTGAGCGGCAGTCGCCCTCCTGTTACCCAAGCGTGGGCCGCAATGCTCCCCGGTGATGCCGGGCCTGATGCCCAGCTCACTGGGACACCCCGGTGGCTCCCACCCATGTGTGGTGGGTGGCTCGCACGGTGCCTCCCACCTTGTGTGGTGGGTGGCTCACACCCCACTCCGGGCATTGCCGCCGCCCCGGCAAGCCGCGTCGGGCTGTGTTTATTTGCTCTGTGTTGGCGTGTGCGGATCCGGCCGTGGCCAAATGCCCATTCCAGGCATTGCAGCGCCTGGCTGGAAGGGCTCGGTTTCCATTCAGGAAACAAAAATAAACCCCAGCTCTGCAGCGCGGGGAGGAATTCCCCCATGAAAAAAAATAAACCCGGTGCCAAAATCGGCGCCTGTCCCGGGGGAGCGCAGCCGGCGTCCTTCCCACCCGTCACCTCTCCAGCAGCGGCACCAAGCACACGCTGCCCTGGTTAAAAATAATCCCCAGGCTGGGGCCGGGAGGCTGCGGTTCCCTGCTCTGACGCTTCGGGAACTGAGACCTGGCTGGTAAATGTGCCGAAAAGGGTATAAATCACACCAAAATCACACGGTACTGGTGCAGCGGTACTGGCGGTGTTCAGGCAGCCCGGGCGCAGGGGTGCAGGCAGCGCTGCGGGCAGCCCAGGCGCGTGGGTGCGGGGTGGCGTGCAGGCAGCCTGAGCACGTGGGTGCTGGCAGTGCTGCAGGCAGCACGGGCGTGTGGGTGCAGGCAGCACGCAGGCAGCCTGGGCACGTGGGCGCGGGCAGCGCGCATGCAGGCAGCCGGGAGGGCAGCGTGCTGCGGCTGCCCTGCTGAGAGGCAATGGTGAATTAGGAAATTTTTTAGGCGCTGGGGTCTCTCGGTCCATCTGCTGCCAGTTGTCTGGCTGCTGCCGGTTCTCCGGCCGCCCCGGCCGCGCCCAGCAGCCCCGTCACCCTTTGGCCTGTTGCAAAGCTCGGCGATACCAGACCCCTCGCCCTGTGCAGAGCCCCCCCCGGCTGTGTTGCAAGCACAACCTTATTATTAGACGTCAGAGACTCCACCTGGGAGATGCTGCCGGTAGCCAGGGCAGGCAGGTTTCGGGTCTGCCTGCAGCAGGTGCTGGTGGGGGGGATGCGCGGGGGGGCAGGCAATGCCCCGGCTGGGGTTGACGTGGGGTTTGGTGCCCACAGCATCGCTGCCTACGCGGAGGCCATGCAGGTGCCCAACGTGCTGCCCCCCATCCTGCTGGATGTCTCACAGGGCTGGGAGACGTGGGGGGGCACCCAGCCCGCCACCCTCGACCTCCTCGTCAGCATCAACATGATGCACATCGCGGAGCTGCGGAGCACCGAGGTGAGCGGGGCAGGGCTGGAACCACGCCGGCCCTCGCCAGGTCCCTGTCCCCTGGTCTGGGGGTCCCAGGGCCAAGGAGGGGACTCCCGGGGGGGTGTCACCAGCCCCCTGACCCAGTCCCCACCTCTCTCTTTCCCCAGGGCCTGTTCAAGGGTGCTGGGGTGCTGCTGAAGCCTGGAGGCGTGCTCTTCACCTACGGGGTGGGTGCTGCTCGGCTGAGCACCCGTCTTGGTGCGGGAGCATCCCGCCGGGCACAGGGTGTCCCTGGGCATGCTGGGGGGGGGCAGATGGGAGGGCAGCTCTAGGCATGGTGTGGGGAGGCTGGGAAAGGGGGGGGGGCTCGGGTTTGGGGGCCCAAGCCTTTGGGGGCCCC